GTATTATTGTTTGAATGAAACTGTGAATAACTAAACTTCTTTGATAGAATTAATCTAAATAAGTAGAAATCCTCTTTTTCCAAACGTAGATCAAGTTTAGTTCCGGACAAAACAAGTGATCAAGTGTTTACAAGAGAATTTCACACAGGTGTGGTTAGCTTGTGATGCTAGCTTAGCTTAGCATTGACATGAGAAGCTAATGAGACGAGTTTTCCTCTAAAACACAAGTGAACAATGAAAAACGTGCAGCGACGCGTCAAACACACAGAAGATCTAATAACTGTGTTGATATTTGAAACAGGATTCACCTCATGAAGATCTATGGGCTCCGGATCCAAGCAGCTCCGCATCCAGGAAGTACCGACCGGCAAACAGGAAGAGGAGGAGTCCAATGGGATTTATGGAGAAGGAGGAGGTGGGGACCTGGAATATACCAAGTCAGGCAGACTCTCGGGGGGTTGAAGATGTAAAAATTTAGTTAATGCCCCAAAGATTTCTGATAAAGTCCAGTTTTGTAACTCGGTGGGCGTTGAACCCATGACCCAGTTTGACGGAGACATCATTTCTACCATCTGAGCCTCCAAACATTCAACTCTTTGCATCGGGAACCTACATTGAAAAATGAACCCACGTCAGATGATCCGCTCCTTCACGTTGACAAATCCTCCCAGCACGATTTCAACTTCTCACTTTGGCTGTTGAACTTCAAAACTCCAAGAGACTTGAACCTGTGTCCTCAGGGTTTCCAGACTGTCCTCATCCACCTACTTGAACACACGTGTGGAAATCATCTCATTATAAAATGAAGTATTTGCTTTGGGGGTTCTTGTAAATTATTTCTTTGCCAGAATTTATTCCTGGGAGCCGTTCACAGGTTTCAGTTCTCTCTAAAGAAAATACATGATTTTACATTACATCTCCTCCTGATTACATTTAATTCAGAAACCACATCTCCTCCTCCAGAGGACGGAAAGAGGGACTTACTCAAACCTGCCCTCGTGTTTATATTACAAGTGAAGATGAACAGACATCTGTAGTCTATAGTGTGTTTTATTAAAAAGTTTCACTCATTCAGTCCATTACAGTAACAAAAGTATCACGATCATTTAAAATAATTTAAAATCACCAGTGAAATATTAGAAACGGATGGTGCTACATTACGCAGAGTGTAACTGAAATCTCACAAAAGTGCAAATATTAGTGATATCGAACATCAACATATTATTAATCAATTCTTACAAAGTGCAACCGGAACAGTTTCCCAATAGAAGGTGGTTAGACATGGTTGATATGCAAAACATATTCTGACACCGTGGTGAGACAAATCACACGTTTTGGTCAAAATTCACATTTAAAATTAAATTATATGGTACAATATATACGGGTTTAAGCACACTTAATAATTAGCTTTGTACACAAATACATACTTTAATGTCTTCCTTGTAAAAATGACACCAAGTGTGCCCAAAGTAAGAGGGACTGATTGGATTTTAGCAGCATCATTGGCTCTTGTCGCCAGAAGGGAAAGCACCTGATTAGTCCAAAAACGTGATCGTTAAAATAAGTTAATAATTAAATACAGTGTCGTGAGGCTCTTGTCATATAAACTGGCAGCCCTCTTTAGCAGGTTAGTATTTCTTTATTGCACAAGAGCGACTGGGAAAAAACTCCCACTTGGCACGGACCAGTCGACGGGTCCAGATTAAAACAACCCGTCTTCCCCGAAGAACTCATGCATAGAATCGAATGGACGGAAAAACAGGTTCGGTTCACGTGAGACCCTCGGCATCGAACTATTCTATGCAGGAGCTTAGAGTTAAGGTCATTTTTACTTTTTGGTCAAACCCAGTCGGTGTGAAAATGGAGAATGATGTTGAGGTGTGGCGAGTTACCCCAGCCAGCGGGGGGCGCCACTGCACCGGCTCATCCGTCAGTAGCAGCCGTCTCTCCAGGTGCCGTCACGGAGCGCAGTGAGGGTGGACAAGCTCTTTGGAGGCGTCAGTAAACTGAGGCGAAACAACAGGCGTCAGATTAACGAACCTTTGACTCACTTCAGATTACAAACGTGCAGAACAGACAAGTGTTTACCTTCGTGCTGGTTGCGCCACCTTGCTGCGGGGGTTGGAACTCGTGGAGCCCACAAAGGACGCAGGGCGGGGCAGGCCGCTGCGGGGAGTGCCCGGGGGGATGGAAGTGGTCGCCCCCCCTCCGGTGGCCGTTTTGCTGAACAGAGGGATCCCGCTGTTACTCCAGCTGTTACTCCCACCGCTGCCGCTCAGAGGCTGGAGGCCCGTGGAGGCCGAGCCCTTGATGGTGGGGCTGACGTACGCGGTGGCCTTTAGCGGCTGCCGCGACAGGGAGGAGAAATTCCCGACGCTCTGGACCCTGTGTTGAAGTTGGCCTGGGGAGGGGACTGCAGAGGAGGAGGGGTTAACACATGCTCAATCAAGTTTCATTGAGATTTCTCAAAGCAGAAGAGACGCGGCGTCTTACTGGAGGACTGCAGGCGAGCCAGACCGCTGGACGAATCAAAACTCAGGCTGTTACGAAGCAAACAAGGGGAAGCACTGGGATTGGTCGGAATGGGCACACTCGGCATGCTGGGAGCTCTGACAAGGTTAGGCATGCTCCTCCGCAGTTTATCTTTTCACAGAAACATAAACGAGATGATTAAAGATTGATGATAAAAAGCGTTGAAGACCAGTTCGTGTTTTGTCAACGCACTGATCTTCACCGTCACTTCTACTAATCCCATCAAACCCCCCCCCCCCCCCCCCCCCCCCCCCCCCCCCCCTCGTCTCGGTGTCAGGACGGAAACACAGTCTGAGCCTTAAGTCCCGTTGTACAACCGGCTTAGAGTTATTATTAAAGGTTAGAGCATCAGTGTGGGTCAGTGCAGGGCGTCCACGTACAAGCTGACGAGTTCAGCCGTTGAATCTATGTTTTTTTTTTTTAAATGGATGAAGTTTATTAAGTTGAAATTGAACTTTATATTGAGCAGAGAAACTGTGCGGACTTACTCTCAAATTCTCCTGGAACACCACGACGAAGTGTCCCAACAAAAGTACAAATACACACGGGAACGCGACACAGACACAGAGACAGGTCATTAGTGCTACTCAGCAGTAACGACTTCATTTGTCTTCTGGAAAAAAAAAGCTGGGGAGACAGATTGTACCTGATCCTGGTCTGAAGCCCTGAGGCTCCTCTGAGCAGAAGCTGCCCACTCCCAGTCCCTGGAGAGGGGACGGGGCCAGAGGCTGAAAGGCGAACCCGGCGGAGGGGAGCGGCGGCGTGGAAGGAGGGGTGGACAGGGACGTGGTGCTTCTTCGCCAGTCTCGCATGCTGGAGAAGGTGTGGGAGTGCGGCAGGCGGGTGAGGCGCGGCTGCGGCGGGGGCAGGAGACCGTAGTCTTCGTCGTCCTCCTCGTCTTCCTCCTCCAGGTCGAGGCCGGCGCTGAGCTGGCTGAGCTGGAAGGTGAAGCTCTGGCTGCGGCGGTTGGCGAGGGTGGACGACGTGCTGGCGTAGTCCTGCCTTAGACCTGCGGGAGTGAGATGTGAGGGTCGGCGTGCAACACACACACAGACACACGCACACACACACACACACACACATCATCACCTCCTGGGGTTAATGAAGCTGAAGTAGCGATGAGCTCTGAGATCTGGAGCCAAAGTTAAAACATTAGAAAGAAGCAGGGAACAATAGAGACAAGATGAGAAGAAGAAACACGCGGACATTAACAGCAACACAATATATATAATACTCTCCTGTTTGAGTTTATATTATTTGTTAAGGTGTTAAAACTTATTTAAAAGTATTTAACAAGTATATATATATATTCAGTTGTGTTTGTGTTTTCATTTATGAGTGAGAGCAGCTTGAATCTGAGGGAACTCACTCTCCTCCTGCAGCCGGGCCATGACCTGGACGTCGGTGAGGTCGTGCAGTTTGTATCCCAGAGTGATGGAGTCGTCCTCCGAGACTCCGAGGTCGCTGTCCACGGACGACTGGGGACTGAGCGCCGAGCGTCTCAGGCCTTTCAGTGTGAGAGAGACAGAAAGAACAGGTTTCATCTTCACTCTTTCTAAATAACATCACACAGGTGATAAATTAATGATTCACACATGAAAGTGATTTTTATAAACGTCACACAATCAAACAGAGAGGATTGTGGGAATTGTGCTATGGAAATAAACCTGAGGCTAAAATCCACCAATGATCCCTGAGGCACTCTCTCTCTCTCTGTCTCTGTCTCTCTCGTCCCTGCAGCTTCACCCTCGATGAGTCTGGAACTGTGTCGTTGTTTCCATCACTAATAATTCACACGACTCCGTCACGTGTTTCATGTTAAACCTCCAACACGACATAACGACCACAATCTGCTCTCAGTCGAAAATAATAAATAGAAAACTTGTGGACAAACCGGAACATTAAAGATCTGATCATCAACGTGTTGGCACACGTATGTAAAATATATTTACATGTGAGAAACCGGCGCTGAGTCTTACTTGGATTGGCCAGGTGAGGGAGGAAGGTGGGGGTCCGCTCAGCTACGGGGGAGAACTCCTTCCCCACGGGACTCAGCGTCCGATGGAGAACATGGTGGAGCGGGGAGGAGAGGGAGGGAGCTGAGGAGGAGAGGAGGGAGGGATGAACTCATGAAAAGTTATTTGTGTTGTGATCATTTTACTGCAAAGTTCAAATGTCTCATTGTATCTGAGGGGGGCGTGGTTACCGTGTCGTTCAAACGACAGGGGCGTGGAGCAGGGGGGGGCGCGGATGGGAGACATGCCTGCCACTCGACTGAGGGGAGGGCCTGGGGATGAGGGGGAGGGGCTGGACAGGCTTCTACGCCACCTAGAGACTGATGAAGGAACAAGAGGAGTCAATATTAAAATGACGTGATGATGTCACACTGTTTGAACACGTTACAGATCAGAAAATATTTATTATAGAGATGATTACTCTCACTGCATCGACTGATGCGTCTTAATCCGCAGCTGAAAATAGTCCCTGACAAATGCTTTATTCACAACAGTCTAAAAACTACTTTTCCCAGAATCCTCGGGCAATTTCCTGAAACCTCGTGTTAAACTAAAGTAAATATCGACTTCACTGATTTTAAAATCAAAGTTTTTGTTCATATATTTGATTTAAAATATTAAATATTCAACACGGCGAAAACAACAAAGACAGACGCCACAGATGTAACACACACACACACACACACACACACACACACACACACACACACACAGTTACCTCACCACCTCTGTGTCTGTCACTAACTGCTCCATTCATCTCGTATCAGCACTGAGGACAAAGACGTTTTCAACACAACAAAGCCGCTCACACACAGACACACACAGACACACACAGACACACACACAGACACACACACACACAGACAGACACACACAGACACACACAGACACGCTCGTGTGCACACTTTGGTTTCTATTCACAGATGCAGAGAAGAAAGTTTGACGGGGTTGATGTGATGAAATCCAGGGAACAAGGACGAATACAGATGTGCTGCGTTGTGCTTTTCATAGTAAACTGTGTGTGTGTGTGTGTGTGTGTGTGTGTGTGTGTTAGTGTAGGAGGAGGATTTCTCTCGATACCTGTCGATGTGAATAAAAGCCGCTAAGCTATGAAGAGGGATTCATTCCTTTCATGTAAACCGTTTCCCTGGCAACAGCTCTCCATCCTCACTGTACTGAACCTAGGGAGGCGGCGGGAGGTGGTGGGAGGCGGCGGGAGGCCAAGCTGCTGATTCCTCCGCAGCTTTAAGTGATGAAGCACGATGATCACAACGAGCCGCACAGCTGGAGCCTCTTCAGAAGACTGAGAGGTCAAAGGTCGACGGCTGTGACCCAGATACCAGCAGAGACTGACCCGGTGCTGAAAAGAGAAATCTGCAGCTTCTTCAATCTGCTGGAGAACAAGATGATCTGGAACCTCACTCAGTACGACAGATACGAAGGAACATCTGAAGACGAGGTGAAGTGGACAATTAACAAACTTCACGTGAGGACAACAAATGTCTTTCGGTCGAGGGGGGCGGGACCTCGATACTATGCAGCGTTTGAATCTGAGATGTTTTGGCTTCATTTCTGGACAGTGAGGTGGAGACGTGGCGTCCATCTCTGTTTACTGTCTGTGTGACAGACACACACACACGCACACACTCTTATTCTGCTTCAGCTCAACAGACAACATTCAGTTACACAACTCACACAGAAACTCCCTCTGACATAACCTGACACACACACACACACACACACGAAGGTTAGTCCAGCTCCGCTCATTAAAGGCTTCAGGGTGTTAAGCTTCAGCTGAGGCCGTGGGAGCCGACGCCTCCTTTCACACGAAGGCCTCACAACACACACACACACACACACACACACACACACACACACACACACACACACACAGTCTACAGAGGTGTGTTAACATCTGGATCGATCCCCCCCCCCCCGATCGCCTTTGTTTGTCAATAATCTTCAAGACATCCCGAGAAAACCTATTTTTAAACCCGTGGATTCAGGCTCGTGTGGTAACCATGACAACGCTGAACTCAAGCGAACCCAGGCCTCGACAGCGAGGAATCGATTTTCCTCTCGTCTGGATTCGACTCGGTCAGGAAACATTTCTCCGGGTTTCCTCTGCGTCCTCCCGGTCCGAGATGTGTTGGCAATGAAGTGACTGCGATCGGGAGCAGGTCAGCTGACCCTGACCTCGTCTCAGGCCAGATTACCGTCAGCGAGTCTTACTGCTCATCCTCATTAGTCACATTGTTGTGAGGAAGTCCGTTCAATGAGGGGAACGAACCTCCGGAGCCGTTTCTCAGGCGTGAACTGAAGTCTGGATATTTTCCAGAGCAGGAAAACGTCCGGGTCAAATACTCCGGAAGTTTTCCAGAGCTTTCCCTGCACCCCCCCTCCGGTGACATCAGTATAGGCAGCTGCATTGCATTCTGGTCCATTTTCTCAGGCTGTTGAGTCCAGAACGAAGCTTCGGGCCGTCAGTTTTAATCTTTGTTGTTAAGATGAACCACTGCACTTGTTTTGCGTTTCGTCATCTCCGCAGCAACAGGAAACAGGAAGTCCCTGCGGCCGAGGTCACAGGAACGATCTGAACCTGAAGAGTCTGAGGTGTGATGTCACCGATGAAGCAGGAAAGAGATTGGAACCTCACGACAACACTCAGGAACAAACCGTGAACTTGTACCTTGCTCCAGTCGCAGCGACAGCGAGCGTCGGGCGGCCTCCACCTCGGTTTTGGGACGGTCCAGAACCTGGCGGCACCACTGCAGAGGAGTGAGGGAGTCGTCTCCGAGCGCCACGGCCTTCGACGACACGTACAACCTGGAGGGAGAAACTCAGACAGTCAAATCATAACGACTGAACCCAGAGGAAGAGGACACGAGTCTCCCTCAGGCCGGAGGGGATGAGGAAGAGGAGCGGCTCTGTTCAGATGAAGTGCATCAGATTATTCTGACAGAACTCCTCCTCTTCATCCTCCTCTTCATCCTCCTCTTCATCCTCCCCCTGGTTTTTTCCTCTGCAGGAACATGGAGGAGCTGAATTATAGATGAAAACCTTCCCTGACATCAGGTGAGAGTGTGAGCGGACAAACGCCGCTCACACTCAGGGAGGAGACGCGTGACGCCCGGACACAAATCTGCTCTGCAGAGAAGAGATGAAGATGCAGAGGTCGTGGGTGAGATCAGTTTGTTGAGTGGATCTGTTTTGCTCGGAGACGGATCACAAAGCAGGAGACACTGGAAATCTTGAGCAGTTCCAGATGAAGGACTTTTACTTAACGAGCTGAAGTTATTTTCATTCAGCATAAACTCACGGTCGCCTGCTGACACAGAACAGAAGCTTCCAAACACTCGTTGTCAAATTACGATAAAACCTTTGAGTTATTCTGCTTTTTAAAACAGAGACAAAGAGATAAATTAACATTCAAGTCCATAACGATGAACATTAACGTGTAGAGCGACAGTAAAACAAAGGAATGACTGTGGGCCCCTCTGTGTGCACTGAGGCCCCTGACTCAGAACTGGACTCCAGCTTCAGCTTTATGTGATTTATGATAATAACAGAAGAAACTGATCACACACACACACACACACACTTTGGTTCAGGCCTGAAAACATCTTCCTCATTGTCCAGATGTGTGTGTGTGTGTGTTTGGTGCAGATGTGCAGGTGGAGCGTGCAGCACCACCCTCCTGCACCAACAACAGGTTGGGGTTCGAACACTCACCATGTCTCCTCCGCCTCCTCCGGGCAGCACAGAACCTCCAGGTCCAGCAGCTCCAGCTCGTCCAGCACCGACGGCTCCGCTGCGTCCTCCTCCTCCTCCTCCTCCTCCTCCTCCTCCGGTTCGGCGGCTCCGTGCGGCTGGAAGTATTCGAAAGGCTCCTCCGGGGGTGAGAGCGATCCCGCGGACGAGTGGCACCGCAGGCCGAGCAGCGGGCCGTGCAGGCGGAACCCGGCGGAGCTCCGGAGCGCGCAGCCCGGGGACTGGGGCAGCGCGTGCGGGCCGCCGCCGGAGCAGCCGCTCGCCCGCAGCTGCTCGTTCTGCAGCTCCAGCCTCCGGACCAGCTCCTGCAGCTTCTTCACCTCCAGCTCCGCCGGCAGAGAGTTACTGTTACAGTCCAGCTCCGGCGGCCCCGCGGCCGGCAGCACCTCCATCACTGACACCGGCGGCTCAGAGCGGTGGGGCCGGTCTGCGGCAGGTGATCGGCGGCGGAGGAGTCTGGAGTGATCCGCCGAGTCTGCACCGTCAGCCGGCGTAAACCACCAGACTCCGCCCCCCCCCCTGCGCCGCACATCACGCACGCGTGTCACAGCCCCGCACGGTGATCACAGGTGGAGCTGCACCTGTCCCGCACCTGATCGATCACTGATTCATCATCAGTGTTAATCATCAATAGAATAATAATCATAATCACCTGCAGGTGACGCTCACACACCTGAGCGACATCTCTGCTCGTTTGGCGACATCTCGTGGCTAAACGTGGTCACTGCAACAAACTGTAAATCTGTAAAAACTCAGATTTTAAAAACAACAAGTTGAATTCAAAGTTCAATAAACTGCAGGAAAAACAAGATCCGAGGTTTTAAACAGGGTCTTTAGAAAAGCTGCTCTGAAATAAAGTGTAAACTGAGACCACCCCTCCATCTCATCGGTGTTTCAGGTGTTGTTTTGATTCCTCAGTGAATAAAAAACGATTAAAAGATAAATTAACGTTTTAAAGTTTCAGTTCAGAATCATCGAAAACTCAGAAGAAACTGAAACCGTCACTCGTGAGAAGCTGGAAACTGAATTTATGTCTTAATTGATTCATTAATTATTAAAAATGATGTCAATTAACTTTCTGTCAGTGGAACTAGAAGCTTTCAGAGGTTTAGTTCAGACCAAGTGGGACAAAGACGGAATAATGTGGCCAGTGATGCATTGTGGGCAATGTAGGCAAGAGAGGAATAAGTAAAAACTGTATTTCTGTTTCACTTTGATGGAAAAAACTGAAAATTACATTAAAATTCAAGTGATTTAAACTGATGTTAAATCACTTGAATTCTCTGAGATTTCAAAAACATTAATGCAATAAATTTAAAATCTTACACCTGTTTTCTTTTTAATTCAGCCTAAAATTCTGTAATTATCAAGAGGAACAACAGGAAGTGTTAATACAACAGTAAATAAATCACATTTACAAACAACAGTGAAGAAAAACACGTTATTTATGTGAAAAACTTAATTTATTGATCAATTTTCTGTTCACCTTCTTCATTCCATGACACATGTCGCCATCTGGTGGCTGAAGGAGCTCACTGCAGCCAGTAGAGAGCTGCATCTTAAACATGGCGGCACAGTGAGGACGAATGAGGACGAATGAGGACGAGTGAGGACGTTCTGCTCGAGGTCGTGTCAGGAGCTTAAATAAACGAGGTCACGTTAACAGCAGACGTCAGAGTGAAGGTTTCTCATTAGAGTTCAGGTTCAATCTTCATCTTCCTCCTCTTCCTCAGCGTTTCTTCCAGGTGAATTTCTTTCTCGCTCCCTCTTGTCCCGGCTTCTTCCTCTCCCTCACCCTGGGGTCAGGGGTCAGCAGGCCGGCTGGAAGACAGGACGGACGAGGGAGGAAGAAAGTGACGATTACTGTTATTATTTTATATATTAGATTTATTTATCCTGAGATCATGTCAGGAAGAAGAGGAGGAGGAGGAGGAGAAAAAAGACGGGGAGAAGGCGGAGAAGAAGAACGAGGAAGTGATTTGAATTAACTCTGGTACAAAACATTTAAACTGTAGAAAAACAAAACGTGCTGCTGCACCTTGTCTCATTGATTCCACGTCTCCCTCGGACAGGAAGCTGAGCACGGCCCGGGCGACGGCGAGCCGCAGCGCCCCCGCCTGGCCCGACCTGCCGCCGCCGCTCACGGTGCACTCCAGGTCGAAGCGTCCCAGCGTGCCCGTGAACTGGAGCGGGAACATCAGCTGCTCCCTGGAGGCGGCGAGGTGAGGGAAGGAGAAAATGACCAGGAGATAAAGCGTCAGAAGAAAGAACGTGGTTGAACGGGCAGAGCAGGAGTGTGTGTTATTGAACTGATATCAACAGCGGAGGCGTCGCTCACTTCACGTCTGATTGGCTGAGTCTTCAGACGAGGATCCTGCAAAGCTTCTCTAACAATCTCACCTCCGCACATTACTGAGCAACGTCTGACTCAGCAGGAAAAGGATAAGGCCGTGCACGAGTGTGTGTGTGTGTGTGTGTGTGTGAGAGAGAGAAGTGTCCGTGTTCTGGATGGCGTCTCAGGCTGAATGGTCGTTGGCTGCTGACAAAGTCAATTGTCACCTCTCTGCTCCAATTACAGCCCGTCCTCACAACACCAGCTCCGGACACACACTCACACACACTCACACTCACACACACACTCACACACATACACACACACACACTCACAGACACACACACTCACAATCACTCAACTGTGTAATTAACTTACTACAAAGAGATAAATAAAAAAAAACAGGCGATGCTGTGAAGAGTGAAAAAGCTGCTTTTTAATTTTTCGGGGCCGAGGGAGTGAAACATCACGTTGTGCATTTTAAGGGAAACGGCGTCTGTGAAGGAGGCGGCGGACGAGCTCGCCGCGCGGAGCGGGCTTATTTCTCCTATCTCTCCTACCTGTCTTGTAGCACGGGGAAGTAGTGGACGTAGTCTTTGCCGTTGACGGTGATGCGTCCGGAGCCGCAGTCCCGAAGGACGACTGAGGAGGTCGACGTCTTCCTACGACCTGAACACACACACACACACACACACACACACACACACACACAGAGTTACTTCCTGTTTCTTCTCCTACATCACAACTCAGATATTAATGAAACATGAGTTAAATGTTGGACGTTGGACAGGAAACATGTGTTTGTGTGCCTCTACCCTCTGACGTGCTGAACGCCACGCCTCGCTCGTCCCTCTCCAGCGGCGGCACCATTTGCTTCCTGGACTGGGCCTCCAGTTGCCGGCGGTAACGCAGGACAAACTCCTCCTCCACGCCGCAGTAAGGGACGGACAGCAGCCGCTCCATCAGCTGGATGAAGCGATTGTACTGAAGAGGAGGACACCGTTAGATAAGGAGGAGGAGAAGAAGAAGAAGAGGACGATGGAGACGGAGGGACGGAACGTTGTCTCTTACATCGTGCGTGGAGACGGTTTCCACCAGCAGAGTGTCCACCTCCTCCTTCGTGAGCCAGCGGCTGGTCCCTAAAGAGCTGAAGCAGACACACGAGTGTTTCAGAATCAGGGCAGAAGAAGTTTCTGGTTTTATTGCTGCTCCTCTGACGCTCCTGAAGTCTCACATCGTCTTGACGTCCTTGGAGAAGAGTCCTTTGGCTCTCAGACGATCCTGGTACTTCTCTAAGTTCTGGATTTTTTCGTACGCTTCCTAAAACAAGAAGACAAAGAACAATAAGTCGCCTGTAGAAGACGAATGGTTTGAGAACGTGAGCTTCAAACTTCTCACGCTGACACTTTTCTTTGTTTCAGATCATTTCCAGCTGAATATCTTTTTCTTCTTCTCTCGTCACATTTGATCCAAACTCTCTGAAAACAATCAGGAGGCACGACTCTGAACATTCTCTGATTTTTCTTTTTTTTTTAAAAAGAAATAAATGAATCAATCAGAGGCCTCGGCAGATCTGAGCTCGGTGAACGAGCCGAGCATGCCGGTCACGTCCCCGAGGCCCCCCCCCCTCAGCCGCCCCGCGCCTGGGTGAGAACTCATTTCCCCGTCAATTATTCACCAGATGTTTGTTTAATTCCCTCTTGATAGAGTGTGCCTAATCCGCTGCCACTCCGACCAGCGGCAGAGGGGTTCGGCAGCAGGGTGGGGGAGGGGGGGGGAGAAAAAAAGCAAACATCAAGCAAAAACCAATTTTCTTTGCAAAAAAAAAAACTAAAAAACTATTTAATAGAAAATCAGAAAAAGAAAAAAAATAGAAGGGAGGAGTTGAAGGAGTCGGACGCGGCCTCGGATAAGAGGCTTGCGTTACACGTTGGCAAACACTGGGTCCGACAATGGCGAGGAATAATTGGCTCCAGTATCTGGATACATTTAAGTCGAGGCTGTTACGGAGACAGAAAGCTAGAGCGCCGCCGCTTCTCCTCACGACGTGGTCTTTACACGCACGGCCGCTTCACAGCGTCGGAGAAATTTTAATTTAAAGGATGAAAATGCAGCGACGACGAGCTCCAGCAGAAGTGTGTGTTTACTTCATGTGCACAGGAAGTCAGGGTGAAGGGTGCGTTGTGTTCAGGTTCTCCCCCCCTCCCCCCCGCGGTCGTGTCCATAAAGGGCTCAGTGGAGCAGCGGGCAGGTTAATGCATCGACGCCGGCCGAACCCGAGAGCGGCCGACCGGCGAGCCTGGTTTACACGCCACTGCCCCCTCCTGGCAACGCTCCCGACGTGAGAGAGAGTGTTACAGTTACAGGAAGATATCGACACGAGGCGAAGGAGCGAGGGGGAGACAGGAAGCACGAGCTCCCAGACATGTCTGACAACCCCATTTAAACCACCGGGGGGGGGGGGGGGGGGGGCAAGAGCTGAGTGTGAAGAGGGAGGAAGAGGGAGGAAGAGGAAGGAAGAGGAAGGAAGAGGTCGCTCGGAGGTGGCGAGCAGTATGAAGGGTGTGGCCTCCTCCTCAGCCCCCCCCCCCTCGCTCTGCCGCAGTCACTTTTAAACGATTTTATAAACGAACAATGTTTTCTCTTATCTGCCTCCTCTTCTTCGACCTTCTCCCTCCAGACACTTTACAAAGTTTAATATCTCTGGTACGAACGCTGCCATCTTTAAAATCAGCTTCTCTCCACTGGTTCACCCCCTCACGACCTCTGACCCCTTCATCACCTGACTCCTCCTCCTCTAATCTCCCACCTCTCCTTCACCCCCGCTTCATTCAGTCGTGTGTGTCCCCCCCGGGCCCTCAGGTGCAGGGGAAGAGGAGGAGGATGAAGATTTACCTCCACCTCCTCTTGGGAAAACTCAACTGCAGTACTCACATGCATCAGGGAGTAGTACGACTGTTTCCCGGTGTAGAACAGGAAGTGGAAAGGCCGACCGTCTGTCCCCCACTGCAAAGCTGTAAATACAGGAGACGATCAGCTGAGAGTACTTTTACACAACATATACTCGTGTACTACTACAACATATACGCAGGTTCGTACCTCTCTGCCTCGGGAAGATTTCCTCTGGATGCTGGAAAATAAAACAGAGTCAGAGTGAAGAATAAAACCAGCAGGTTCCTCTGTCTCGTTATTTAAACCAGGAAGTTTTAAACATCAGGTGAGTTCAGACGAGAACCGCCCGACGCACCTTCATGAGGGGCTGGGCTTTCTTCTCA